TCGCGAGGAAGCCGAGCCTCAGGATTACGGCCGCTTGACCAAAGTCGAAGAAGAACAACACCGCTTGTGGAGGGCGAGTTCAGTTATAAATATTTTTTATTATTGTTTTAAGAATACTGATTAACACGAGGAGACTTAAAATCTCATGGATCCGTGTGAAATGGCTACTGGCTACACACCGAGAAGGTCAGTCGGGCGTCGGATTGGCACATGAATTTGGCACGGTCGACAGGTTGTAAACGAGATTATTACCGCCGGAGGGTGCGCACCAGTTCACAGTTAAGAGTTCCATAAAAATTAACTGTTAAAAAACATAAAAGACACGTCGAGAAGTATTTATACCCTCCCCCCCCCCCCGAAAAAAAGACCCCAAAATAGAATGTGGCACAAGTTTTGGTTACCAGATCATGGATTCGGTTACAGGGAAAAAGGTTTCCTAGAGACGGCGGTCCCTTCAGCTGCACTGATGTGTCGCCAGAACCTGGTCTCCCCAGTTGGCAATGAACCTGGTCTCCCCAGTTGGCAACTGGTCTGCCCAGTGGGCAATAAAATAAGCTCGGGGGCAAAACGGTGCAGGGATAAAGTTGGGACCGCCCTAGTTGACCTCCCGGAAAATACGGAAGGGATGTGCAAAGAAATCGATGGCTAGTAAGGCCAGAAGGTCAAAGAGGCGCCAGCCATGTGCTGAGAAGGTAGAGGCAGGAATGGGGTCAATGCCCAACTGATCCCTACGCACCACGGAGGTCTAGAACTGTTGTGCATGTGTTCTTCCAGCCCTCAACCTCCCAGTTACGCAAGAAAAGACTTCTGGGCAGTGTTCTCTCTAAGCTGAGTTAGTGTGAGCCAACTCACAGTTTTTTAGCCTCCGGCTCACACATTTTTGTCTTAGCTCAGGAAGGATGGCTCCAGAGCAAACTAATTTATGCAGTAGCCAAATTGCTCGCTCACAACTTTAATGCCAGTAGCTCACAAAGGAGAATTGTTGCTCATAGCTTAGAGGGAACATTGCTTCTGGGTATTCCAGAGTTCATCCAAGAGGACATAAACAAGAAGGAGGATCAGTATGGCTGTGGGGTACCGTTGGGGTACTCTGCCGATGCTCAGGCAGCTAGATGACGACTGATCCCGCTCAGATGCATGCAGGCAATAGCTATTGGAAGCAATGTTCCCTCTAAGCCATGGAGCCCTGTGAGCAAAAATTCTACATTGTGAGCTACTGGCATTCAAGTTGTGAGCAGGTTGATTTGGCGACTGCAGAAATTAGTGTGCTCTGGAGCCCTCCTCCCTGGGCTGAGACAAAAATTTGTGAGCCGGTGGCTGAAAAACTGTGAGCTGGCTCACACTCACTCAGCTTAGAGGGGACACTGATTGGAAGGGGAAAGGGGAGTGCCTTGAACCGATGCCCCCCACATTCAGTTCCAGGACCCCCCCAGATTCACCTCTGTTACGGCTACAAGATGAAGAAGAAGAGATTGGATTTATACCCCCGCTCTTCACTACCCAAAGGTGTCTCAGAGCGGCTTACAAATTCCTTTCCCCTCCCCTCCCCACAACAGACACCCTGTGAGGGAGGTGGGGCTGAGAGAGCTCTTGACAGAAACGGCTCTTTTTCAAGAACACCTCTGAGAGAACTATGGCTTGCCCAAGGTCATCCAGCCAGGTGCAAGTGGAGGAGTGGGGAATCAAACCCGGTTCTCCCAGATTAGAGTCCGCGCACTTAACCACGACACCAAACTGCCACAGCTACGCCGTCTGCAGGATCAAAGCTGAATTAACCAACTGCGGAAAAGGTTTGTGGGTGGCGGCCCCGGGAGCAAAGTCTGGCCACCCAAAGGGCACTCTGCGTTCGGCTTGAAAGCCTCTTTTCCCCTTCTTGGGGAACGGGGGGACGCGATGCCCCAACCATGTGGAGGAAAGAAGGAGTGTTTCTTCTCTTACTTAATAGCTCCTCTGACTCTTTGCCCTTCAACTAATGCAGCCATGAATGGAGCAAGAAAGATACAGGGCTGGAGGCTTGTAGTGTTGTGGGAGGGGGTGGGCGTTGGGGTAGGGACGAGAGCAAAGTCTGGCCACCCAAAGGGCCCTGTGCGTTCGGCTCGAAAGCCTCTTTTCCCCCTTCTTGGGGAACAAGGGGGGGGGGACGCGATGCCCCAACCATGTGGAGGAAAGAAGGAGTGTTTCTTTCTCTTACTTAATAGCTCCTCTAACTCTTTGCCCTTCAACCAATGCAGCCATGAAGGGAGCAAGAAAGATACAGGGGTGGAGGCTTGTAGTGTTGTGGGAGGGGGTGGGCGTTGGGGTAGGGACACAGGCAAAGGTAAAGGTTTTCCCTCGCTTGAAAGCCAGTCGAATTGGACTCGAGGGGTGCGGTGCTCACCTCCGTTTCCAAGCCGAAGAGCCAGCGCTGTCCGAAGACGTTTCCGTGGTCATGTGGCCGGCGTGACTAGACACCAAGGCGCACGGAATGCTGTTCCCTTCCCACCGAAGCGGTACCTATTTATCTACTTGCAGTTTCTTGCTTTCGAACGGCTAGGTTGGCAGGAGCTGGGGCCAGAGACGGGAGCTCACTCCATCATGTGGCACACTCGGGTCTCGAATTGCTGAACTACCGACCTTCCAGTCTGCAGTTCAGCGTCTTAACCCTTTGAACCACCTTTACCTTTAGGGACATAGAAGGCACAATATAAAAGAAACACCTTTGTTTGGTCCAGTCTGGTTCTATGCTTGTACTCACGCCACCTTAAGCACTGAAAAAGCAATCGATAAGTATGTCGGGGTGTGTGTGTGTGTGGAGCGGGCTGGGACTCTACGTTTCCTTAAATCCACGTACATCTCTTTCTCTTCCCTGGTAACTATGAAAAAACTTTCTGCTTAGCAGAGAATCTCTTTAAAAAACGGGCAGATATCAATCCCACGCTCACACACCCGGTTGCTTCCTCCTTTTCCTCTGGATGCTGAAACTGGCAGCAAGAAACGCCACGTCAGGGCTATTTTTGGGCAGGAACGCACAGGAACGGAGTTCCGGCTGGCTCCCAAGTTGGCCACGCCCAGCAAAAACTCATTAGCATAATAGGCCACACCCAACGGCAGAAACTCATTAGGATTGGCTACATTAGGGGTGTGTGGCCTAACATGCAAAGCAGTTCCTGCTACAAAAAAAGGCCCCGGGTTTTGACAACAAACAAGGTAAACAGAATAAGAAGCAAAAGGTGGGTGTGGCTGGATGACCACACTTCTGGTAACGAGGGCTGTGTGGCCTAATATGCTAATGAGCTGTGCTGTCAGGGGTGTGGCCTAATATGCAAATTGATTTTTCCCTGTTGGGTGTGGCCTATTATGCTAATGAGTTCCTGCTGGGCTTTTTCTACAAAAAAAGCCCTGATGGCGGGGAGGTAAGTCAGACCCAGCAGGTCCTTGGAACACCACCACCCCGGTCACACACATCTGGCCTTTTCTGCCTGAAATGATGGGGTTGGTTAAGCCCCTGGAAGGTGGTGTCACACGGGCCAACTCCTGACACTGTTCGGAGAATTGGTTCTCTGGCTCCAGCTATGGCGTCAACTCGAGGCCTCTCTGCACCTACGTCAGGTCCCAGCCGGGGCAGCTTGTTGAAGAAGGGATTGTGCGCAGCGGCCTAAAAGGGCACGTTGTATTGTTGGCGACTGTGGAAAAGAGAAGAGCAGCGCATTTCGGGCCGCAGCTCAGTGGCGAAGCGGGTGATGGGCATGCCAAAGATCTCTGGCCCCAGCTCTCTGTCGAAAGGACAGGAAATCTGGGACAGACCTCTGCCGGGTCGGAAGAGAGGCTCCCGAGAACTGGCCGGAGATCCCAAAGTCTTTTCTCCCCTCAGACTCGTACTCCAAAGGGGGTGGAGATGAAGAGCAGATGCGGCGTTGCTCAGCCTTTCTGCCTCGATCTACAAAAGAAACCCTGGCACTAATTTAAGCCGGCTGTGGAAGACGGAAAAGGAAATGGCCCAGAAAGGGGCACAGTGACCGAGCAGCCTCAGAGCGAGCCCCAAACGCATCTGGGAGTTCCGCCTCAACCATTAGCATGTACAGAGTTGTGGCGCTGCGGCAACGTTCTCAAAAATGTCGTCCCCAGCCCCGAGGGCTAGCGGCTTATTTTTGAAAGGTGAGAGATTCCGGAGGAACTAAATTCCTCCCCTCGTCTAAGATTTGGCACATGCTGAACAATGGAGTGGAAGGAAAAGCCCCGCTCCCGCCATCTGTTTGAACCCCGCTACCCCGGAACGCCGAACGCTCGCAAGAGATTCCAGAAGCGCCAGCGGTGTCCAGAGTTCTAGTCCGAAGCAGCTTGAATTGGTGGTGAGCATGGGAAAATAACAGTTTTTTTAAAAAAACCTGTTAGTGAAAATAGATATATATATAATATATGATTTTAAATAAACTAAATCTCAGGTTTTTGTAGGATTTGGGCTCTCGGTAGTGCAAGGTTAAGACTCCGCTACTTGAAATCTGCCAAGATGTCGCTGAAGATGTTCAGGAAGAGATGCGCATGATGGTCTCGGAAGACCAGGGTGGGCCGGAAACGGATCGACCGGTCGCCGCTGCCTCCCAAGACGACACCTGAGGGCAAAGGAGGAGGAAAGGAGTGATTTCTTCCCCTCTCCCAGGCAGATCACACAGTATATCGGCTGAGGACTCTGTGTTAAACACCCAAGTTTTCAGACATGGGGAATCTGAACAAATTGGGTCATTATTGTCCCTCCCAAAATTAGCAACGCTGGAACAAATTATGCAAAAATGACAAAAATATGGAATAAATTATGTACTGAGTTCATCTGCAAAATGCCTGCACATCAGAGGACGTGGCTCTGCTTGGTGCAAAATATTAACGGCGGGGAAGGCAAGATACAAATAAAATAAAATAAAATAAAAATGAACGCCCCCCCCCAAGAGCACACAACCCTAAGCTTCATGGGGAATGGGGTGCCTCTAAAAACAGCTGTTATCTTACCTTTGTTTCTGGCTAATAATATGAGCTTGTTCCTAATGGCGTCGTTTGGAGAGTCGAATGAACAGAACGTTCCCCGTCCTCGCGCCCGGCTGATCAGGTGAGGGTAGCGATTCTAGAAAGCGATAAAATTATTTATGAATTCTCCATTTGAAGGGGGAGCAAGATAGGGTGTCCACTGCTGTTGGCTTTCCCAGCGCCAGAGCCAATACACCCGCTGGGGGACAATCAGGTGAACAGCGTGCTGGCCAAAATTCAGAAAGGTGGTTTAAGTGCAGGTGTTGGGGGAAAAAATAAACATCAGCAGTAGGGTACCGTTACTGATGCAACACATTTGCAACTTGCTGGAATCAAAAAAAGAAATCATGCTTTTTTTGTACCATGCCAGATCACTTGAAACGGCATTTATTTGCTCCCTGCGAGTTTGAGAAGATAGCGTTTTATATGCACCAGACTGTGATTAGATGCAGATCATAGGATGGGAAGATAGTGTTTTGTTTGCACCACACCATGATTTGAGGCAGATCTTGGTCACAGCATGGGATGGTAGCGTTTTATTTGCACCACACCATGATTCGAGTTAGATCTTGTTCACAGAATGGGAAGATAGTGTTTTATTTACAACACACTGTGATAAGAGGCAGATCTTGGTCAAAGCATAGGAAGATAGCATTTTATTTGCACCACCCCATGATTCGAGGCAGATCTTGTTCACAGCAGGCGAGGGTGGGGATTCTGCCTTATTCCCAGAAGATGACATTCACAGAGGGCTTGTAGAATTCTATGCTCACCGCTTGAAGCAAGCGAATTCTATTTTGACAACAGTGCTATAGATCGTCAAACCTGAATTTGAGAGTATGTCAACTACACCTATGAAATATTTTTGACTCTGTGCCAGGTACATATCTGACTTTTGCCTTTGCCCAGGGCAGCTTTTCTCTTTCCTGTGCTTGTGAGAATGTCCCGAGCCATTCCAGATGAGAACCGTCCACAAGCTCTTACCTGTAAATCTAGCAGCCCCGCCAACAAGACCTTCCCTGCATGGGTGGCGTTGCTGAGCAGGTCCTCTCTTCTAATGACGTTGATGACTTCCGCGAGCAGCAGGTTCTTGGAGGGATCGCCGAGCCACGTGTTGAAAATCCGATACGGCTGCACGGTGGATGGACCGAAGGGGGAGAATAGAGAAAACGGAGACATCAGGACTGGATGCTTTGGGACTGGCCGCCCTAACACCGCTGCCCCCCTCTCCAATAGCGATTCCAGCTAAGAAGAAATACATCTTGCAGTTCTTTCGTCCTATTAGAAAAAACTTTTTATCTTTGGATCAGACCTTAGACCACTATCAGTCGAGCAACAGCTTTGCCGGCGGATAGTGACGCAGACGCATGAAGCACTTCAGTCCAGCCCAAGGATGTTCAGTTAGGGGTCATTTCCTGCAGGAGCGCACAGGAGCGGAGCTCCGGCAGTAAAGAGCCGAGGGGGCGGGCACATGCAACAAGCCCCACCCCCTGCTCCCAGCAGCCCTCAGTCAGAGCAAGAAGCAGCCAGGTAAGTTGCAGAGCCCCCCGCCGGGCCCCCAGTCTAAAACAGTCCAGTGGCACCTTTAAGACCAAGTTTTATTCAGGTACAAGCTCTCCCTCCTCTGCAAGGACAGATCTGCGAGTCCCCCCCCCCGCAATAGCTAGCAGTCCAAAACAGTCCAGTGGAGCCTGAGCGGTGGGTGTTGCCTTCTGACACACTTCCGGTGATGTCAGGGGGTGTGGCATATGCAAATGAGTTATGCTAATGAGCTCCTGCACCTCTTTTTCTACAAAATGACCCCTGTGTTCAGTTATCTCTAATGCAGGTTGTTGTAGCCTGGAAGGGGGGGGGGACCCTAGCTGTTTCTCCCCCAAGGGCTGGACCTGATTTCCTCATCTACATTTCAACCATCTCCAAGGAAAGTATATCACCTCAGATCACAAGCCCTGACTTACTAGCCCCCAGGGCTAGTCTGGAAGGCAGAGTTTTATTTTCTGCGGATAGACACATGGGTAGGGCAGGGGTTCCCAACTGTTTTGAGCCTGCTGCGGGCACATCTGGACTACTGACACAGCACAGTGGGCACATGATTGCGTGCCCGGCTGTTCTTCAATTTTTGTAATTCTGAATTGTTACTAAGAAAGTGATGGCCTTAGGCTAGTAATAATAAGCTATATATAAAACCCGAGATTATCTGGATACTATATACTGTGCCCGCCATCTGCTCACGCCCAGCGGCAAATGAAGAATTTATGCAGCCCTGGCTAGAAGGAAGGCAGGCCATTAAAATAAAAATTCGTCCAGTGCCCGCAAACAGTCATTACAGCCGAACGATTCTGCAAACTTACAGCATTGGGCCTAAATTCCTCCTTGTGGAAAAATCCTCCGGTTAACATCTTCTTACTGAAGGACAGGACGTCGGCTGGGTCGTCCAGGCCCCAATGTTCGTGGGCCCAGAACTTTCCGGTGCAGCCGCCGCCCGTCTGCACCTCGTCCACCAAGAAACCGCAGCCGTGCTGTTCAAAGAGATCGGGAAAAGCAATGTAGATTGAGCCGAGGAACTGGGATGCGGCAGGAGGGACTGGAAACTGGGCCGGGGGGGGGGGGGGGGGGGGGCAGAAACTTTCTGATCTCTCCCATGAACGAGAAGGCAGAGAGGCATGGAAGATTAAGGGGGTGGAGGATCGAGGAGGCCTAGATTCGAGTGCTACTTCTTGGCGAGTCAACCTCTTTCAGTCTCTGTTTCCAGTCTTCAAAATGAGAATGGCGGCTAATATGGGTGCATGTAACACTGTGCAATCTCCCTGAAATGCTAACTGTATGGGGCAGGGTCTTCTTGACTGAGGGGTAGCGTCTAGCGGGTCGGGAGGCGGAGCTTGATTTGCAAAACTAAAAAAAAACAACGGATCTCCCCTCCCTGCCTAAACGCTCCCCTTTGGAAATGTGCCCGGACAGACCTTTCTGGCAATGTTCCTCAACTTCCGGAAGAAGTCATCCGAAGCGTGGTTGTCTCCGCCTTCCGACTGAATCGGCTCAACGATAATGCCGGCGACCACTTTTTTCTTTTTCCGGTATTTCACGATCAAATCTTCCACCTTTACGTGGACAGGGTTAAGGGGGGGGGAGTTATTTCCCTCTAGATACAGCAAACGGCGCCAACCCACTTCATCTTGACAAAAAAGTGAACTGGAGAACTTTTGCATTTGGTGCCGAACCAACGCTGTCCTGGGGATGTCGGAGGGTGCCCTTCGGATTTTAAGAATTATGCTGCTTTTTAAGAAATGAAGAGAGCAGAGGACCAATTATCAGGGCTATTTTGGGGCAGGAACGCACAGGAACGGAGTTCCGGCTGGCTCCCGAGTTGGCCACGCCCAGCAGGGACTCATTAGCATAATAGGCCACACCCAACAGCAGAAACTCATTCGGATTGGCTACATTAGGGGTGTGTGGCCTAACATGCAAAGGAGTTCCTGCTACAAAAATGCCCTGGGTTTTGACAACAAACAAGGTAAGCAGAATAACAAGCAAAAGGTGGGTGTGGCTGGATAACCACACTTCTGGTAACATGGGGGTGCGGCCTAATACGCTAATGAGCTGTGCTGTCAGGGGTGTGGCCTAATATGCTAATGAGTTCCTGCTGTTGGGTGTGGCCTATTATGCTAATGAGTTCCCGCTGGGCTTTTTCTACAAAAAGAGCCCTGCTTATCAACACAGACGGCACAGATTCACAGATGGCACATGGAAGTGTGCCGTAGACACTCTCCCGCTGTTGGTGCATGTCTATGAGGAGGAAGAGGAGAAGATTGGATTTATACCCCGCCCTTCACTACCCGAAGGAGTCTCAGAGCAGCTTACAGTCTCCTTCCCCTCCCCCTCCCCACAACAGACACCCTGTGAGGCAGGTGGGGCTGAGAGAGCCCTCTTGAAAACCGCCCTTGAGAGAACAGTCCTGAAAGAACTTGTGGCTGACCCAAGGTCACACCAGCAGCTGCATGTGGAGGAGTGGGGAATCAAACCCGGTTCTCCCAGATTAGAGTCCGCGCTCTTAACCACTACGCCAAACTGGCTACACCACACAGATAAGCAGTCCCCAAATGTACCAGAATCTTAACAGGTGCAAAGACCAGTTTTGAATGTGCTTATACAGAATCACAGGGCCGGAGGCAGAATTTGCACTTCAGCTATCTTACGCCTCACAACTGCAGTCCGAGGTGGTTCTATCCCAAATAAAACAACGGTAAACTGAGCCTCACTTAACCGAACATTTCATTTTTGAGCTCTCCACCTTCTAACCAGATTTGTTCCTTTTGTAAGTCTTGCTGCTCCCTGAGACCTCTCAAACTGCTCCTCGATGGCTGAACGGTGTAAAGATTTCTATGTCCTCAAGCTGCTTTTTGGATAATTTCCTCCTGCTGTGTGGTGCAGTGCTTAAGAGCGGCAGACTCTACCCTGGAGAAGCAGGTTTGATTCCCCGCTCCTCCACATGAAGCCAGTTGGGTGGCCTTGGGCCAGTCACAGCTCTCTCAGAGCTGTTCTCTCAGGGCTCTCTCAGCCCCACCCACCTCACAGGGTGTCTGTTGTGGGGAGGGGAAGAGAAGGCGATTGTAAGCCGCTCTGAGACTCATTTGGGTAGTGAAGGTAAAGGTAAAGGTTCCCTTGCTCGAAAGCCAGTCGAGTCCAACTCTAGGGTTGCGGTACTCATCTCCGTTTCAAAGCCGAAGAGCCAGCGCTGTCCGAAGACGTTTCCGTGGTCAGCATGACTAAACACCAAGGCGCACGGCCCGCAAGGGTCTGGGTAAAGTCAAGACTCTAGAAATGCCAAGGTCCGGTCCGGTAATATTTAAAGAAAACAGAGTCTACTAGAGCATGCACAAAGCGCTTACTCTCGCACTGCTGCAGAATCAGAATCCTTGGTATCTGGGGAGTAGGAGAAAGGGGGCTTCTCCAATGAGACAGGATGATCCTGGGGGCGGATGTGTGTGTGTGTGTTACCAGTCCTCTTTCAGGGGACCTCAGCACCAAGCGCCCTCACCTCCTCCAAACAGCGGGACTCCTCCTGTTCGTTCTCTTTCACAAACTCCTCCAGCGGGTACTTCAGTCTCGGGAACGGCGCGATGGGCCAGTCCAAGGACGGGATGTCCAGCTTGTGGATGGCTTTCGAGTGGGTGGCGGCCAGGCAGCCTGAGCGGAGGAGGAGGAGGAAAAGACGCTGGTCGAGAGAGCACCCTGCGCACCCTCCACCGAGGCGGTGGAGTCCTGAGGTGGCAGAACCGGCTGTGCCAATGCAGACGGCGGGTGAGAGATAAGGGCGCATTTTCCAGGTTTACGAAAGCCCCAGCCTCCCGAGTCTGCAGAAAGCTAGCAGATTGGAAAGGAAGTCTTCTAGGAAAGACACCCTGGCTCCCTTTGGTGCTAGTTCTTCTCTTTACGGGGGGTTAGGGGCTTCCCCCCCCACACCTTTTTCATTCCAGACAGAGGTAATAGAACAGATAAAAGGAAGTCCTTCTTCACCCAAAGAGTCATTAACACGTGGAATTCCCTGCTGCAGGAAGGGGTGGCGGCTTCAAGCACAGACAGCTTCATAGAGGGGGTTGGATAAACATCTGGAGCAGAGGTCCATCAGTGGCTCTTAGCCACAAGGTATAGATAGGAACACTCTGTCTGGGGCAAGGGATGCTCTGTACCCTTGGGGCTTGGGGGGCTACAGTAGGAGGGCTTCTGGAGTGCTGGCCCCTGCTGGTGAGCCTCCTGATGGCCCCTGGGTTTTGGCCCCTGTGTGACACAGAGTGTTGGACTGGGTGGGCCACTGGGTGTTCCTGATTCAGCATGGCCTCTCTTACATTCTTATGTCTGGGGCAAATGATGCTTTGTAGTCTTGGCGCTTGGGGGGCAACAGTGGGAGGGCTTCTAGAGTTCTGGTCCCACTGGTGGGACCTCCTGATGGCCCCTGGATTTGGGCCACTGGGTTGTGACCACTGTTCCCTCTAAGCTGAGTTAGTGTGAGCTAGCTTACAGTTTTTTAGCTTCCAGTTCACACATTTTTGTCTGAGCTCAGGAAGGAGGGCTCCAGAGCAAACTAATTTGTGCAGAAGCCAAATCGCTCGCTCACAACTTTAATGCCAGTAGCTCACAGAGTAGAATTGTTGCTCACAAGACTCCACAGCTTAGAGGGAACATTGGTTGTGACACAGAGTGTTGGACTGGATGGGCTATTGGCCTGATCCAACATGGCTTCTCTTATGTTCTTATGTCTGCGCCAGCGATGCTCTGTCTTCTTGATGCTTGGGGGGGCAACAGGGGGAGGGCCTCTGGAGTTCTAGCCCCACCAGTGGACCTCCTGATGGCCCATGGATTTTGGCCACTGTGTGACACAGAGTGTTGGACTGGCCATCGAGCCTGATCCAACATGG